TGGTCGTGTGTTTCTCTATGTGCTAGTGTCTTGCTTCCCAGTGTAGTTCCTTATCAGTTTGTTTCGCCGTTTCCCTCCAGCAATAAAGCTGTGTTTTGAGTTCCTGCCTCTGTGAGCTTGCGTTTGGGTTTGCGTCCACTTCCTGCCTGCCACACAGCCGTATCATGACATGCCAGACTATTAAAATAAATAGTTATCACTAAGAGAAATAAAGGTTAGGATGAAAGAAATCAAATGTTTGTTATACGTATGATACTTTTGTTTATGTATATTAAACAGCTAATATAAAATTTAACTTAACACAAGCAGTGGATTTCATGACACTTCTCTAAAGTGTTAAAGTTTTAAAGGTCAGGGACTCTCTTTTTGTTTTAGAAAAAACAAATGATTTTGTCATTTGGTGTCATTTGATTTGGACTGATCATATGCAGCAGATTCAATTAGATTTAAGGGAACAGAAATACCTGCTGCTGACAGAAATGATGCTGATCAACATGAAACAAAGACGTGTCCTGTAGAGCTGCAGAGAGGCGTGATACCTCTGTGTGCTTTCATTATTAAATCACTGATAAGTACAGCTCCTTGATTAGAAGTTGCTTCTTATTTTAAAGTAGGCATTATATAGAACTTTAATTGTGCACATCCAGTAACTATACTGGGTTTCCTGTCTATGCATTCCCTTGGGGAACTGAACGATTTATACCACATTCTAGTCTGACTGACCGCTCAAATGTTTTTCCACCATAAGCTACATTCACCTTTTCGCATGTATCCATAGAGCACTTTTTTCAGTATGCCTAAGTGTTTTATCTCCTGTGCGTTCACACCTAAAGCCCATTTACAATCCCAATTTAACCTAAGAGGCATGTCTCAGTGCTCAGAAGGAAGCTGGGGTAGACACAGATCCACTGCTCCGTGCCATCCAACTCGGCTTAATAGCATTTTGAAAAATGTCCATGATTACGTGGATGCCCAGGAGTGAAAGCTGGCAGAAGTTATTATTGGCAATGTTCATGTTGATGCTGAAAACTGAAACTGTTTTGCCAAAGCAAAATATCACTTTCCCTCACTCTTCAGCAGGCTATAAGCTTCCCAACAGAATAGTCTCAGACCTAAATGCAATTGTGTTCATGTACTCAGGTGTAAAATCCAAACCTAAGATCAGGTGCCAGGTCCATTAACAAAGCGTCGCAGAAGTAGAGAGAACAAAGGATAAGAGGAGATCTTCCCCTCAGGCTCTAGGGAGTGGAGCTTAACGCTGACCAAAGGAAAGATTTGAAAAATAAGCCTGCATGTATCCTTAGGCTGTGAATTCCTATACAATGAAGATTAGTGGTGAGGAGGGTCATGGGCTACTTTTTAAGATCACCTTTTAACAAGGAAAGGCAGCTTTTCCTTTGAGCAAACACACCTTCGTTGCATCTCAGTTGTCAAAGTGCGGCCGAGCAAACCGCAGGTAGGAGTGACAGAATCTGTTAAGTTAGTCCCAACGTGTCCCCTGCACATGCCGTCGTCCCTAACATATTAACAGTGAGTTAGCAAAGTTCTTCACGCTCTACTGAAGGAGCTGGACTTTAGGAAAGAGATGAGCCTAACAAGGCAAAGCAAACATTAGGTATTAAAGGAGATGTTAAAGGTCAAATCACTGAACTTTAAGCTGTGAAGGAATGCAAGGCTGCAGTCAATGAGTCTCTGATTCTCATAGATTTTGTTAAGCAGTCGGTCCTATTTGCCCCGTCCCATAACAACATACTCGTGATTTTAAATTAAAATAATAATAACAGTATTTTACACAAAAATGATTAAACTGTTTAAGCACAACTTCAAAAGAACTTCACTGAATCTCAGAATGTGAGTTGCTGATGTTTCCCACAAACACAACATATCAATATGCTACTCCTCAGAAGTTAAAATGACCCTCTTTAAGGCAATTTCTTTATTATGATAATAAACGATTGTCATAATAATATTGCTCTTGTGTGACAGTGGCACTTTACTAAAGTTTGACATGTTAAAAACAGAATTAGCAAGTTAGCATAAGCAAGTTATTTAAGAATTATCAGCATTGGCCAATAATAATAAAAAAAAAACCCTCTCACTAGTGACACATATCACCTGCCTAAACGTTGTTTTCCCAAAGACAGTGGCCTCCTTCAGCAGGACAGTGTTTCCCACTACACTACAAAAGCTGCTGGTGTTGGAAAAAAGCTCAAGGTGTTGACCAGGCCTCCAGACACCACAGTCCAATCAAACATTTGTTGAATATGCTGGGAAGAGTAGATCCACGGAAA